TCCTCCTCCTCCTCCAGGGGTCAATGAGCTTTATTTTTGTAAAGAGCCAAACGGTAAATACTTTAGGTGTGGCCAGCTATAGGGTCTCTGCTACAACTAGTCAATTCAACCATCATAGTGAAAGCAGCCCTAGACAATAAGTGGAGGAGTGAGTGTGGCTGTGCTCTAGTGAAACTTTGTTTACAAAAACAAGCAACGGGCAGAATTTGACTCACGGGGCATAGTTTGAGAACTGTCATTCTAGAAGGTGTGCAGGTACAGTTAGACTAACTGGAACTAAATTCAAATCCTAGTTCTTCTATTTATTATGCGACTTTGAGCAAGCTTCTTAACCTGTCTTTTTGAACACATAAATAGAAGATTAATATTTCCTCCTTCATGTTAGGCATCTAGTTCAGGGCTTAGCACTTAATGAGCCCAGAAATGATAGCCACTAGTATTGTCTTGTTAAGGGGAATGGAAGCCTAGAAAGAGGGTCAGAGGGGGCCAGGCATGGTGGTGCATGCCTGTAATCCCAGCACTTTGGGGCCAAGGCGAGTGGATCACCTGAGGCCAGGAGTTTGAGACCAGCCTGACTAACATGGTGAATTTCCATCTCTACCAAATACAAAAAAAAAAAAAAAAAGAAAAAAGAAAAAGGAAAAAAAAAAAAGAAATAGCCAAGTGTGATGGCACATGCCTGTAATTCCAGCTACTTAGGAGACTGAGGCAGGAGAGTTGCTTGAACCCAGGAGGTGGAGGTTGCAGTGAGCTGAGATTGTGCTATTGCACTCCACCCTGGGCAACAAGAGCGAAACTCGGTCTCAAAAAAAAGAAAAGAAAAGAAAGAAAGAAAGTGGGTCAGAGAACATGCAGGTCCCTTCATCCAACTGGAAGTAGAAAATCCTAAGTAAAGAGCACTTTGAAAAACAATGGATAGCAGAGACTCTTGGGGACAGTGACAGCTTTTGCCTTTAGGTCATGCGCACCTCTTTATAGAATCAATCAGATATAAGCAGATACACAGGTCTCTTGACACTTGCCACAGCAACAGCAATGTTATTAATAAAATACTTGGAAGATTGTTTAGGATGCCTGGAGCTATTATGACTATATAAAAGATGGGCCAGGCTTGGGGAGGAATAATTGGTGAAACAGTAGTACATCCCTGGAGATTGAGACAGAGATTGAGACTGTTTTAACTAAAACACAAATGAAATATTAATCTTTGGCTCCTGACTGGCCTAGTCATTTCCAAACATGTCTACTGGCTGTATGCAGTGGATTCTTTTGAGATGCACACTCCTCTGTGACTTTTCCCACTGCCCACAAGATGAAGCCCACATCCTCAAGAACCCATGCAAGGTCCTCCATGGCTGGCTTCAGCTTGTTCTGTCAAGCTGCCTTTCCTCTCATGGTGCTTCAGCCACATAAGTCAATTAGCTTATTCAGGTCCTCAAAACACTTCCCCCTCCCACGTTACTTATGCTCATTCTATTCAACCTTAATTCTACAGACCTTTAGAAACTCACTAGTCACCCCCATCTCCATTCTCTGAAGACCCCACTGGCCCAGCACCAGTCACAGGCTCTGCCTGCGACTTCCCTTTATCCATGCCTTCCATAAATAATCAGTAAACCTTACATTATTGGAAGGTGATGTGCAAAGCAGAAGGAAATCTGGATTTGGAGTCCAAAGACTTGAGATTGAACTTCATTTTGGCTCCATTAAGACCTGATTTTGGCTCCATTATCAACCCATTGTGTGTCCAAGATGGGGCAGGTTGTTGAATGTTTCTGAGCCCAGTCTCTCAACTTGTAACACAAGAGTGCTGTCCCAACCTCGTAGAGTTTTTGCGAGAATGAAATGTGAAATTAAAAGGCCAGGAGTCGTTAGTAGGTACCTACCTCCTGGGATTTCCTAGGAAATGCTAACTGAATCTGAACTGTTCACAGCATTTGGCTTGGCATAAGCTCACTAGTGATGTAATCATTTGAAAGCAAGACTGTACTGAAATATGATTAATTACAATACTTCACATCTTTTAAAAAAACAAAACTCAAGAAATTTATTTATTTTAAAATGTTTTTTAAAATGCCCATCAAAGTTTTACATGTGACAGAATGGCTTCTATTTTTTAACTTTGTAAGAGAGAAGCAAGATCTTGATTAGCATATATTGCAGAAGGGTGCTTTAAGATGGCTTGAAAATCAACTCGAAGTTTCATAAAATTGGTAAAATTGAGGGGAAAATACCTACAGATTTGCCCAAAAACATGTAAGCAGAGCTAAAATTGTTCTTTCCCCCGCCCCAAATTATTCTTTGCAAAATGGCTGCACTGCACTGCTTAGTGCCTGTACTGTGCCTCCCAGCGTCCCGTTTGACTGTGCTCTCTACCAGAAACTCACTGCTTACATTTAAGCCGCCTTTCTATAGTTTATATTCTCTCCTACAAGAATGTGCATATCAAAGCATGATACAGGAAAGAAAAAGAATGTAAACAAATCCCGATGATACGTATGTTGAATATAATGAAAATTACACATACTGAATTGATGAGAATATTTTACACATTTTATGCATGTCTATGATGCATAAGCATTTTTACATTGGTTTTTAACATGTGATTTCACTATTTGCTCTGAACAGCCCAATGAGGCAAGTACTGTGTCCATTTAACAGATTAAAAGCTAAGACTGAGCATTTAAGTATTCACTCTGGATCACAAACCTAGGGGCTGCATCCTAGGCATGAACCCAGGTTTTTGCGCACTGAATGTACTGTCTCTGCATTGCCCCCCCAGGTGATTTAAGTACATGTGCTTAGTATGCTCCACAGTAGCCTTGTAGGACCTATGGTAAAGTCCGAAGTTGAGGGTTCAATAGAAATTTTCTCAGTTTCTTGACTTTTTGATAAAAAGTCTTGATGATTGAGACATATCTAACTGATAGAATGTTTCTGCCATGATATACTTCTGTAAACAAACAAATTAAACATATAGATAAAATTATCTCAAATTCTGTAAGTCATTTAGGCTTCTATGTAGGGTTTTGGTAACTGAATCAGTTTCCTCATCTCACACAGAAATGAAAACAGTACTTCCATGACCAGGTCGAAGGCTCGTCAGTGAAAGTAAGATGAGAGGCTTGCCATTCAACTATAATAAGAAAATACAGGTGCAAAGCAAGATAAAAATTTTCATTGAAGTCATAAACATGTACAAATAAATCACCTGATTATCTCGCAAGCCTACACTACCTAAAATTAATTACTGGCTAATTAGCAACCCTGGAAAAGTGTTATTGTAGAAACTTCCATTTTCATTATAAAGTGTGAGCCTCAAGTTTTAATGAAGTTCCATGATGAAAAAATGACAAAATTAGGCCGTGCTACATACTGCAGCATTTTAAAAGTTAATTAATTCCCTGACATTCAGCAATGTAACTAAATTACTTTATACAGTTGTTTGAGCACTGGGTCTATAATCTTCTGATTAAAATAATGAGCCCCAAAATCATCAGTGGCAATTATTATTTACTCACTGACCATCCCGTCACCCACCATCCTGCTAGCTCCTCCTCAGAATCTGAAGAGATTATTCTCCAGAGAGTTTTAGAAACTTTTTGCTGTAGTAGAATGAAGGGGAAAAAGCCTTTTAAATTTCAGGGTTCAAAGTCAGAGTTTCTGGACAGAAGTGTGTTTTTAAAATCTTAAACTGAAGAAAAATTCTAACAAGGCTCGCTGCAGCAAAATACCTGCCGATTCACTATTGTTTATCCTGCGGTTTCTGTTTAAATTTGTGCTGCTATCATGATTTATTCCTACCTCACAGGATAATGAATCTAGATTTTATTTCTGTTCTTTGCCCAGACTTGTACAGCAGGCAAAGTGTTTGAAAATCAAAGGAAAAGAAGATATTGACTTGGATAATCTCTTCAGAGGTAAAAAAAAAAAAAAATAGCAAAAACACAGAATATACTTTTTGTTATGCAGAATGTCTTGTTTGTTTGTTTGGTTTTATCCTTCCAGCAGGGAATGGTGGAAAAAGCCTGACTAGAAGTCACAAGAGACTTCTGTTCTAGTTCCTGCCCTGTGACTGAGTCCCATCGCTGCACTAACTCAAATCTTAATTTTCTCCTTCTAAAAGTAAAAGGACTGGACCCTATCCTCTCTATGATCCCTGATAGGAAAATGTAACCCTACAGAAGTTAGAGTTTCAGTGGTTGAATCTCCCCCTGCTATCTGTAGAGGCCATGGAGGGAAACCAGGAGTGTCTCCCTGCACTTGATAAGGTGGGAGACTGTGAGATGCACCTCATTAATAAGAAAGGCATCAGAGCTGAGGAATCTGTTGGAGTCTAGGAAGAAGAATTGCTTGTGTTCTTTTAGTTATGTTTCTTTCCAATGAAGGCTCAATATAGACAGAATTTTGAGGTTAGATTATATTGTAGCAAGCTAAGGAATCAGTTTCCCCTGGACTGTGTTTTGATTTAGTCACATGTAAACACTGATAATTTCTTACTAGTATCCCACCTGCATCCTTGGTAGCTCTGTACATTTGTATCTCCCAGAAGATGTAGGAGATCTGTCTGCCTTCTAGAGGAAAGGAATATTGCTGAGCTTTCTGCTGACCTGGTGGAAGTCCAGTGAATTAGCACACTGTGCTGGACTGCGCCATTTCCAGTTACCTATTGGACTTAAGAGAAAGAGTGCTTGGCAGTCATTGAACAAAAGGGCCAGGTCTTTGAGCAGTGCTGAGCTGCTCACCGCAGGCAGAGATGGAGCTCTTGATTGTGTTGAAAAAACTGGATTTCATCTCGGCCACAGAAAGCCTTTTCCTCAGAAGAGAGAGGGCAGTTGAATTACTTTGGATTCGCTGTGCAGCTACATGTTCCCCCCTCATCAGAAGAATTTCTATCTAACATAACCAGAGCTCAAGCTTACTTTAAATAAAATAAATCACTGATATTTTAAAAACTGTTCCATACAAATGTTCTCATCTGTCTTACCAAGGCTTCATTCTGTAAACGACATGTTTTGGAACCATGTAAGAAGCCTTAAAAAATGTGCCAGTGTTTTAATTCATAGTTTGACACTTTTGAAAATATCTCCACAGAGTAATTATGTATATGTTCTTGTTCAAACAGATACAAAATTTTGTAGTTCTTATCGTAAATGTAGTAATGAAGATCATCCCTACAAAAATAGAAAATGTCATAGCAAAATACATTTGCATACTGTGAAAGATGAAATCTCTTCCAAGTTGCTCAAAATGCACTTGTTCTTTTCTGCATCATGTATAAGACGTTTATACCCATATGCTTTTATTTATTCATGCATTTACTGTGCTCTTTAATTTAAACATATCCGTTTCCTCTCAGCGGAGGTCTGTGCTATCAGATATGGCATTTATGTCCGAAGAACATGCAGTGGGAGGAGCAGTCTACCTTAGGTGGATCACACAGCCGCCTGTGGATTCAGACCACTGTATGTTGGGGAAGTGCAGGCGGGGACCATTTCATCCCATGGAAATTGGCAGGCTGTGGTTAGCGCCTGCTTTCTAGTCTAGCCTTTTGTCACCCAAAGTACCTCTTCCTTGTATGTTTGGTGTCCCCCACACGTAGGCCACGGACCCGTCTGTGGCCTGTTAGGCACTGGGCTGCCTAGCAGGAGGTGAGCAGAGGGCAGGCGAGGGAGCAAAGCTTCATCTGTATTTACAGCTGCTCTCTGTTGCTCACATTATCACCTGAGGTCCGCCTCCTGTCAGAGCAGCTGCAGCATGATTCCCATAGGAACACAAGCACTATTGCGACCTGCACATGTGTGGGATCTAGGTTGTGCACTCCTTATGAGAATCTATTGCCTGATGATCTGTCACTATCTCCCATCATCCCCAAATGGGACTGTCTAGTTGCAGGAAAATAAGCTTAGGGCTCCCACTGATTCTACATGATGGTAAGTTGTATAATTATTTCATTATCTATTACAATGTCATGATAACAGAAATAAAGTGCACAATAAATGTAATGCACTTGAATCATCCAGAAACCATCCCCCACCCCTAGTCTGGAAAAAACTGTCTTCCCCGAAACCAGTTCCTGGTGCCACGGAAGGCTGGGAACTGCTGTACTGTGGGACTAATCCCCATTATTATAAAGTTCATGTGCTTTGGTTCTAACCTGGATGAGACAAAATAATGAAAATAAATATGTTCTTACAGTCACATTAAATGATTATTTAATATTTTCTTTTATTTTTCTTAAGCCTATAAATCTGAGCATAATGTCTAGTATCCATGCCCTTCCTTTTCTTTTCCGTTTTTTTTTTTTTTTTTTTTTTGAAGATAGTCTTGCTCTGTCACCCAGGCTGAAGTGCAATGGCCCAATCTCGGCTTACTGCAATCTCTGCCTCCAGGTTCAAGTGATTCTCCTGTTTCAGCCTCCTGAGTAGCTATAATTACAGGCATGTGCCACCATGCCCACTTAATTTTTTGTAGTTTAGTATGGATAGTGTTTCACTGTGTTGCCCAGGCTGGTCTAGAATTCTTGAGCTCAGGTGATCCACCTGCCTTGGCCTCCTACAGTGGTGCTGGGATTACAGGTGTGAGCCACCGGCCGGTTTCCTTTTTATTTTTAGTTCTGGGCATTGATTTGAATGAGTGACTTCTTCATTCATCAGGAGTTATTTATTTATTTAATTTATTTTTGAGACAAAGTCTCTCTCTGTCACCCAAGCTGGAGTGCAGTGGCATAATCTTGACTCACTGCGACCTCCACCTCCTGGGCCCAAGAGATTCTCCTGCCTCAGACTCCCAAGTAGCTGGGATTATAGGTGCATGTCACCATGCCCAGCTAATTTTTGTATTTTTAGTAGAGTCAGGGTTTCACTCTGTTAGCCAGGCTGGTCTTGAACTCCAGACCTCATGATCTGCCCACCTTGGCCTCCCGAAGTGCTGGAATCACAAGCATGAGTCACTGCATCTGGCCAGAAGTCTTTTATTTTTTAAGGAAAATGGGCTAAAATTTGTTCTGTATTTCTTCTATGAGGGGAGGTTGTATACACTGGATTTTTGGAAATTGTATACACACATGTGCATGCACACAGATTCTGTTTTTTTCTTGGGCACATTTTCCATTTTATTTGAAAAACTTCTTTATTCACCATATATAGGCTTGGCATATGTAATAAAAATATTTTAAAGACTACCCATTATTTTCAAGTATAATTCTTAGATAGTGAGCCTCTTTTATCAATATGTAAGTGTATATAACAACAATATATAAACAAGATTGGATAAATGTATATAACAACAACAATATATAAACATAAGATTGGATGATTAGAAATTTTAATTACTCTGTAATGATAAAAATCAGCTGAGGAAAGCATGCTTATGTTAGAAGGATGGTTGTGCATAACAGGAGTAGGTTGAAATTTGTCTTACTAATCTAAGGTTTACAGATAAGCTTATTGAGTGTTACTCCTATGACATGACAAGTGATAATTATTCTTTGTGCCTTTTGTGAAGTAAAATAATGCATGAACGTAGCGTTTATGTGTTTGGCGACACCATAAGTCCCTTCTCCAGGACAGAGCTAGGTGTCTGTGTGTTTTGGGTTGTTTCTTTGCTTAGAGAATGGGACAGAACCTGCTCCCTGAGCACAAGCTGAGGGAGGCAGCTTAAAGTGTATTTGCATTCATGAGGAAGGATCTGACCATCCAGATCCTCTGTCCTCTCCTCCTTTAGACACTCCTTGGTCCCTCAAAGAGATGTCACTCTCCTGGCCACTGCATTGTACCGCCTGTGAGACACCTTTGGAATTGTAGAAAGTTCAGCTAGAAAGTTGTTATTTTTTAAATATTTATTATTTTGGTCTCAAACCTATAACTAATGCTCATTTTAAAACAACAACAAAATTTCATAAATTGAAAAATAAAAATTCAAAGAGATAAGCATTGTTAATAAATCCTTAATGGATTTATTTTGGTTATAATAATTAACATTTTTTTTTACCAGTGCAGAATCATATTATATTTGGTGATCTACAATTAGCTGTTTCCCCCCTCAATTACTGATATATTGTGATTACCTTTCTACGTCAGTACATATACATCTTCCAAGTTCTTTCCATTTCAAGTAAAAATTTTAGCTGAGTACACAGAGATCGGACCCATTTAATCATTACTAAGGCCAAGAAACATAACCTAACCAGAAGTTCACCTCATGCTCCCGACCCCTATCATTCCTTTGCCAGGGTAACTATTCTGATTTTGCTCACTCCCAGTTACTTTTACTCTGTCTCCAAAATTTTGTAAATGGAATCGTATGTTATGTACACTTTTATGTCTGACTTCTTTTGCTGACATTGTTTATAATATTCATTCAAATCATAGCTTGCTTATTCTCATTGCTACATAGTATTCAATTGTGTGAAGACACTATAATTTATCCATTGTAAGGTTGGTTGTTTTCAATTTTGCAAGCTTTCCACTAGGAACATTCTAGTATGTGATTTGGTAGATATGTGTATCCATTTTTGTAGAGTAAATATCTATGAGGGGAATTTCTGGGCAGTTGGGTTTGCATAAATTCAACTTCAGGAGCTAGTGTCAAATACATTTACAAAATGGCTGTACCAGGACGTTCCTGCCAGCACAGTATGGAAATTGCAGGTGCTCTACATCTTTGCCAGTAGTTATTATTTGCCAGCCTCTTTTGTTGTAGCCATTCTTTTGGGCTTACGGTGGTATTTAATTATGCTTTAATTTTGGTTTCCCTGAGGCCTAATGAGCTTGAACATATTTTCGTGTTTATTGGCTGTTTGAATATCCTCTTATGAAGTATCTTTCTCATTTGTTTTTTACATTGTCTTTTTCTTACTGATATGTAGGAGTTCTTTGGATCAGTATATGAATTCACTGTTGTATAGAATTATTACACA